CTCAGAGGAATCCTCCTCCTGACTTGCCAATGCTCGACGAACTACAAACAATGGCCCCTTGTCCGCCTCCATCTCTTCTCCTTCTAACTTGCCTGTTGGCTGTTCTTCAGCCTCCTCTTCGTCTTCTGAACAATACTTCCCATCTCGGGGTACCATTATCTTCTGGTTAGCACACTGATGCGATTTGTGACCATAACCATGGCACTTAAAACAACGAATTGTGCTACTGGAATTGTTCGCCTTCTCGGGAAGAGTTGTCGTAGTGTTCCTAGGCATGGTTCGAGGAGGCTCAGGCTTCAATTCGGTTTCCAAACTGGGTTTGGGAGTGTTGCTTGTTGTAGGGAACCTCCTGCCAGCACCCTGATGCTTCAATTGCTTCTCAACCTTGGCGGCAAGCTGGACAACTTCCTCAATTTCAACAAATGGGAAGAGCTCGGCCTGGTTTTTTATCTCTCTTTGAAGAACTTGCAAAAACCTGCTGATCGTAGCTTCCTTGTCTTTCCTAATGTCAGCTCGGATCATAAGGAGATCCATCTCTCGGTAGTACTCTTCAACACTCCTGCTTCCTTGACGAAGTAATTGCAGAGTGTCGTGGAGGTCGCGTTGATAGTACGAGGGTACGAACCGGTCCCTCAACAAGCTCCTCAACTCCAGCCAGGTAATTATGGGCGGTAGCCCAATTCGTCTTTGATTAATGCGAACTTGTTCCCACCACACCGCCACGTAGCCTTCAAACTCATGAGACACAAGCTTGATCTTCTGCTCGTCGGTGTAATTATGGCAATCGAAAAACAAGAGTACCTTCCGTTCCCAATCCCAATAGTCAGAAGGATTGAGGCTACCCTGAAACGAGGGTATGCTCAGCTTGACTCCACGGAGCTCGTCAAGGGCCCCTGTTTCTGGCGGACGTCGATCGTGATTGTGAAACTCACGATTCCGTTCACGATGACCATCTCCAGCGAGGATCAACTGGCGCTCCAGATTTTGAATTTGTGCGTTCAGAGCTTGAAGGCTTTGATCGTCTCCAGGGATTGTCTCCTGCCTCGTCGGCGTCTTTGGCTGGGCCGTCGTTGTCGCCGGTGACAACTTCAACTCTGCTAATTGCTTGTTGATGTTGTCGAACTGCACTTGGAACGTGGCGTTTATCTGCGCCATTATTGTTTGCAGCAACTCCGTTGTATTAATTTGTTCCTCCATGGTTGAATTTTGAACTTCAATGTTCTCGTCGCACTCAGAGTCAGACTCTGCTTCTTCGAGCTCCTTCTGATCAATGGGATCTTTCTTTCTCGTCCGAGCTGCAAAAGGACGAACGTCCTCTTGCTTCTTCTTCGTCTTGGCCACTTCTTTGAACCAGACGATGATGCCACTTGATAAGCCCTCGATTGGCTTAACTCAGAATAACGCAGCGAGGAAACAACGATGATTGAATTTGAGAGGAAAATCGATGGAACCAAACAAACTAAATCAGCAACTTCAACACGAAAAGGGAAGAGGCTAATCTAGGTAGAACTACCATAGATCAAGGGTGAATATCCTGATCTCTAGGTCTGCAATTCTCGGCCAAACAACCAAGAACCAAAAGCTCGCAAGCTGGAAAACTCCTCGGAGTAATTCAATTAAACTTCAACATGTGTTTTTACAACTCAAAGCTTGACTATTTATAACCAAGAAACCTAATTACAATCCTAAACAAACAAGGCAACAATTCTGAATCAAACAAGGAAAAGAAAACGTTGAAACAATTAAAACTTGCATCCCAAGTAACTAACTTCTCTCACAAGCTAACTGCCCAAAAACAGCCCATGATAGCAACTTCGTGGCTCTAGAAATCGATCTTCTGGCTTGAGTCGAGCTCAGCCAATTCCTTCCCTGGGTTTAGCAAGTTTTACTCTTCCATTCCCAACTCCAAGCTCCAGCTGGTCATGCCCCAAACGTCTTGAATTCGAGCTCAAAGTTGGTACCTCAAACTGTCTCCCTGCCTTCGCCAAAAACTGGCAATTTCCAGAATGCAGGATAGGTTTTTGATGGCCTTGAAAAGCAACCCTCTTGGCCTTCTTTCCACGATCCAAATGCATCAAATTATAGAGGAACATCCAAGGTTCAAAATAAGACCCTAACCTTGCGTTTCCATTGAACGGTTTGAGAGAAACATCCCTCCAAAGTACCTTTCCCGAAACTGCATCAACACTTGGGAAATTTCCAGCCTTGTTCGTATTAACTTGACCCGATCTTTGAACGATTTGTTTGAGATGATTCAAGGGTGGAATTGAGATCATATCAGGGAGAGAGGTGTCAGAGTTGACTTTATCTGGCTCAATGGCCGCCTCAACTCCGAGAGGTTCTCCGTTTCGGCCCAGTAACTCAGGAACGCGCGAGAGTATGGTGCCCCCCCCCCTCCCCCCGCCTCTTCAACTAAGTCATTATTCCAATCGGAGGGTCCAACAAAGACCGCTCTGGACTTCCCTTTAGAATTTGTCGTCTTATTTTCAACAGTAGCCTTGCGCCGCGGAGGATTGGCCTGGCTGGGCTTGGTCGCAATCTTCATTGTACCCGCCGAAGCAGGATCTCCTTTCCCTTGCCAGGATTTCCTCAGGCTACCCCGACGAGGGCGCGGCACATGAGCAGCTTTCATTGGGCCAGAACCCTCCCCGAGAACCGGGTCAGCCATCACCGGTTTAGGATCCTCAAGCTCCTGGACGGCGGTCATCTCCATCGGCGTCCACTCCTCCTCCGAATCATCATCTAATACCAATTTACATCGCCGAGTTACATTTGGTGGGATCCCGCGGCTAGGGGTGGGCATTCGGTCAGTTCGGTTTCGACCGAACCGAAATTCTGAATACCGGGTTCCCGAATTCTCCCAAACCTCAAACCGAATTATAATTCGGTTCGGTCGGTTTAAACCTAAATATAATTTGGTTCGGTTCGGTTTTTCACACAAAACCGAATTTGTGAAGCTACTTGTATTTTCTCACTTTTAAATTATTTTTCACCCCTAAATTATAAACAATAAATATCAATTATATGCATCATCAATGATAAAACCAAACTTTTCAACACATAAGTCATAAAACATTTCAAATATTTAAGTCTAAAAACAACTACATATCCACCATTTGAAGCTTGCAATTATAGTATTTCGGTTTTTTGGTCGGAAATTCGAAAATTTGGTTCGGTGGAAAGAACCCTAATTTCCGAACTATCCATAAATTCCTTCCGAATTCCGAACCGAATAGCATTAATTCGGTTTCGGTTTGGTTTAATTCAGTTTCGGTTCGGTTTGGTTCGGGTTTACCGAACCGTTTGCCCACCCCTACCCGCGGCAGGCCCTTGAGTAGAACGAGACTTGGTAGCAAGGTTTCCACCACTAGGCACCTGCCTAGAGGTTGGCCGACACCCATAGTCTCCAGGAGAACGATGCAGGCCCTGGCTCCGCCTTCCAAGACTTGGCGAGGCCACTTTCCCAGCCGCCGAGCTCTTCTCCGCACGTTCCTTCCTTCCCACCAGCTGGCGGAGTCGCTGACCTACGGCGCGTCGAGGTGATCGCGACATGGGAAACCCTTGAGGGCTTCTTCGCTGAGCCCCATGCACCAGCCCATGCGGAACCCCCGCCACGCGTCTTGTCTTCCGCTCAGTGGTAAAATCCTCTCCTGGGTGGTAAACAATGGCCTCCGCGGCAGCATTCTCTAGGCGAGTAGCCTGGATAGTTTTCATAGGGAGCTGTCGCGCATTGCCGAGGGATTTATTAACCCAAACCGTCTTTGGAACCCCACTGTAAGTGTGCATCGTGTCCTCCTCTTCATGAATCTGTCTTCCCATCTTTTTTATTAACTTGTGAGGGCCAAAACGCTCCTTACGGGCTGGGGGTTCGAAACTACATTCGCTTCATAGATGGCCCACCCTCCCACAATGAAAGCATAGGCTCGGTCGATTCTCGTACTTGAGACTAACGCAAAAGCATCCAGTCTCATCATTCGTTGCCATTATTTGAGAACACAACGGTTTAGAGAAGTCCACGAGCGCTTTGACTTTCACAAAGAGCCTGTTCATCTCCTGACTCGAGAACACCTCCGATTCCAGTACCCTCCTGATGGTACCATTTGCTATCTTCTGGCCAAATTGCTTTGTGCAACATTCCTCTTTAATACCCCAAAGTTGGATACGAAAGGGAACTATAGAGAGTTCTTCGAAGGTGCGTTTGTTCACCGTGGAAGTCCAGGCACATAGGTGTAGTATTTTATCGTGAACCACCCAAGGTGTGCGCTTCAGAACCCATATTCGAGACTCCTCAATAGGCAGCACGAACTCGAACAACCATGCTTCCCGATATGAACTTTGATTCTTCTTTTCCCCTGCCAAGGCGTATTCAAGGCATCGCGAAGCTCAATAGCCGTGAACGGGGCATCAGTAAAGAGGAGCCCAAGCAGCATGCGATTTTGCCGAAATTTCATGGAGTTGACTTCCTCCAATGAAAACTCTACTATTTGATCTTCCGTCACGTGAGCCATGGTAGTGATCTGCGATGGAATAAAAATAAGAGGGATATTAGACGAGTGTATAACAGGATTGGACGACCCAAAGCATTCGAAAATGCTGTCTCCCTCACTCTGTCGCAGCAGCTCATTCTTGGTCGGCGAACCGACTGGAGGCCCATGTGGTACCCTGGTCGTCGGACCAAAGGAAGAAAGCAAGGAGAATGGCAAAATACCTGACTCGAGTTGCCTGCTAGCAAGGGTTGTGCTTTGTTCAACCAGCGCCTACCCCTCGTTATGGTTTGATATCGTGGGAGAGGCGTAGCACGCGGAGTTAGAGTCCAAGAAGGACTTCCCAGGATCAATAAAGATCCGATCCGAATGAAGTATTTTTCTTTTTATTTTTACCAAAATTATTAGCCATTTAGATACGATTCGGTTGTATCAACGATGCAATCCCACCTGATTTTCTAATGCCCCGATCACCAAGGGGTATGCCGGTAGAAACCTCCTCGAAGACAATCGATATTATCGGCTTGTGGTCCTCGTCGGCAGCCTAACTAGAACCTGGCGTAAGATCTTTTTCCGGTTATCATCATCTCCGGTGACCGTTTCCGACATATCTACATCGACTAGCAGCACCTGAGAGTAGCTCCAATCCCGGGTCGTATACGACTGCGAAGGAGTGGGTCTATTACTTGATGATTGACATGAATCATCCCCAGAGCATCCTTCCACTTCCATCGAGGACGGCAGGGCAAACCGCCATGCCCCCTTCCACGTCTGTTTTTGTTTTTTACCAATTCTTATGTCATTCGAGACTTTTGAATCTGCAATGAATACCCACCGCTTCTGTTTCCTATTCCACAGGCCGAGACTTTGATCGGCAGGCTTAACATGGATAGGCGTGTCGACTACCACTCGCCACTTGGAATTCGATGGTGGATGGGACCTCACCACCGCCGCCTGGTTGGAGAGGCAGACTGCGAGGATCGCCCAGAACGCTGCCAGCACTCCGTTTCCATTCATGGAGCACCCGGCAAGGAGAGAGGAGAGAATTCTCCCAAAGCTCAAACCGAATTATAATTCGGTTCGGTCGGTTTAAACCTAACTATAATTTGGTTCGGTTCGGTTTTTCACACAAAACCGAATTTGTGAAGCTACTTGTATTTTCTCACTTTTAAATTATTTTTCACCCCTAATATAAACAATAAATATCAATTATATGCATCATCAATGATAAAACCAAACTTTTCAACACATAAGTCATAAAACATTTCAAATATTTAAGTCTAAAAACAACTACAAACATAAAAATCCACCATTTGAAGCTTGCAATTATAGTATTTCGGTTTTTTGGTCGGAAATTCGAAACTTTGGTTCGGTTGAAAGAACCCTAATTTCCGAACTATCCATATTTTCCTTCCGAATTCCGAACCAAATAGCATTAATTCGGTTTCGGTTCGGTTTAATTCAGTTTCGGTTCGGTTTGGTTCGGGTTTACCGAACCGTTTGCCCACCCCTACCCGCGGCAGGCCCTTGAGTAGAACGAGACTTGGTAGCAAGGTTTCCAGCACTAGGCACCTGGCTAGAGGTTGGCCGACACTCATCGTCTCCAGGAGAACGATGCAGGCCCTGGCTCCGCCTTCCAAGACTTGGCGAGGCCACTTTCCCAGCCGCCGAGCTCTTCTCCGCACGTTCCTTCCTTCCCACCAATTGGCGGAGTCGCTGACCTACGGCGCGTCGAGGTGATCGCGACATGGGAAACCCTTGAGGGCTTCTTCGTTGAGCCCCATGCACCAGCCCATGCGGAACCCCTGCCACGCGTCTTGTCTTCCGCTCAGTGGTAAAATCCGCTCCTGGGTGGTGAACAATGGCCTCCGCGGCAGCATTCTCTAGGCGAGTAGCCTGGCTAGTTTTCATAGGGAACTGTCGCGCATTGCCGAGGGATTTATTAACCCAAACCGTCTTTGGAACCCCAGTGTAAGTGTGCATCGTGTCCTCCTCTTCATGAATCTGTCTTCCCATCTTTTTTATTAACTTGTGAGGGCCAAAACACTCCTTACGGGCTGGGGGTTCGAAACTACATTCGCTTCATAGATGGCCCACCCTCCCACAATGAAAGCATAAGCTCGGTAGATTCTCGTACTTGAGACTAACGCAAAAGCATCCAGTCTCGTCATTCGTTGCCATTATTTGAGAACACAACGGTTGAGAGAAGTCCACGAGCGCTTTGACTTTCACAAAGATCCTGTTCATCTCCTGACTCGAGAACACCTCCGATTCCAGTACCCTCCTGATGGTACCATTTGCTATCTTCTGGCCAAATTGCTTTGTGCAACATTCCTCTTTAATACCCCAAAGTTGGATACGAAAGGGAACTATAGAGAGTTCTTCGAAGGTGCTATTGTTCACCGTGGAAGTCCAGGCACATAGGTGTAGTATTTTATCGTGAACCATCCAAGGTGTGCGCTTCAGAACCCATATTCGAGACTCCTCAATAGGCAGCACGAACTCGAACAACCATGCTTCCCGATATGAACTTTGATTCTTCCTTTCCCCTGCCAAGGCGTATTCAAGGCATCGCGAAGCTCAATAGCCGTGAACGGGGCATTAGTAAAGAGGCGCCCAAGCAGCATGCGATTTTGCCAAAATTTCATGGAGTTGACTTCCTCCAATGAAAACTCTACTATTTGATCTTCCGTCACGTGAGCCATGGTAGTGATCTGCGATGCAATAAAAATAAGAGGGATATGAGACGAGTGTATAACGGGATTGGACGACCCAAAGCATTCGAAAATGTTGTCTCCCTCACTCTGTCGCAGCAGCTCATTCTTGGTCGGCGAACCGACTGGAGGCCCATGCGGTACCCTGGTCGTCAGACCAAAAGAAGAAAGCAAGGAGAATGGCAAAATACCTGACTCGAGTTGCCTGCTAGCAAGGGTTGTGCTTTGTTCAACCAGCGCCTACCCCTCGTTACGGTTTGATATCGTGGGAGAGGCGTAGCACAATCCGGGAAATATATAGGGTAGGCGGAGCACATCCTTACCCTTACGCGGCTGGTTCCCAGCACGCGGAGTTAGAGTCCAAGAAGGACTTCCCAGGATCAATAAAGATCCGATCCGAATGAAAGTATTTTTCTTTTTATTTTTACCAAAACTATTAGCCATTAAGATACGATTCGGTTGTATCAACGATGCAATCCCACCTGATTTTCTAATGCCCCGATCACCAAGGGGCATGCCGGTAGAAACCTCCTCGAAGACAATCGATATTATCGGCTTGTGGTCCTCGTCGGCAGCCTAATTAGAACCTGGCGTAAGATCTTTTTCCGGTTATCATCATCTCCGGTGACCGTTTCCGACATATCTACATCGACTGGCAGCACCTGAGAGTAGCTCCAATCCCGGGTTGTATACGACTGCGAAGGAGTGGGTCTATTACTTGATGATTGACATGAATCATCCCCACAGCATCCTTCCACTTCCATCGAGGACGGCAGGGCAAACCGCCATGCCCCCTTCCACGTCTGTTTTTGTTTTTTACCAATTCTTATGTCATTCGAGACTTTTGAATCTGCGATGAATACCCACCGCTTCTGTTTCCTATTCCACAGGCCGAGACTTTGATCGGCAGGCTTAACATGGATAGGCGTGTCGACTACCACTCGCCACTTGGAATTCGATGGTGGATGGGACCTCACCACCGCTGCCTGGGTGGAGAGGCAGACTGCGAGGATCGCCCAGAACGCTGCCAGCACTCTGTTTCCAATCATGGAGCACCCGGCAAGGAGAGAGGAGAGAGCTCCTTTCCACTTTTTTTTTTTATGGTTTCAGTTATAATCACACTGTGTTTTTAAAAAAGGGTTTTATTCTTTTTTTTTTGTGATGAGTTTTTATTCTCAAAAGAGGAGAAGAATTAATTAAAATATTATTATATACTTAATCTGCAAGACTTAATAGGTTTAGTAATTAATGTGGATACTTATATTTTTTGCTTTGTATTATACGTTAACCATTGGGTTGTGGTTTAACGGAATTCCACTTTGTAATTTGCAAGGGGTTAATAGCATTTTATACACTTTTATTATTGCAAATTAACAAACATACACTCCTACTATTATTTTGCATAAACATGCTCTTTTATTATCAAAACATAATAATTGTAACCTTCTGTCAATTTACCGTCAAGTTGCTGTTAATCTAGATGGAAAATGACAAAATCGCCCCTATCTTATTATAATTATTTTTTCACATAAAATAGAAATTACTTATTTAATAGTTTGTTATTCCTTTTACCCCTTTCTACCCCAAATAGATCCAGAACCCTTCACATTACATCCCTCAGACCCCATTCTCTCCCGGGAGACCAAGAAGACAAGAGATGGACGACATGGTGATGAAGCCTTTCCTCCGCCAACCCTCCACCGCCGTCGGTCGAATCGCTGGTGGCTGATGTAGCGTATCTGTTGCGGACTCGAGCCAGGAAGGAGACCGAACCTGCTCTGAAACCCTAATTTTTGATTCAAAATCATGTATCGATTTGGAAGGTTTTCATGAAATCAAATGCCCAGCAGATTTCAAACATGGCGATCATCTTCAACTATCTACTACTACTCGACGATGTCCGATTCCATGATCGCCTGCACTTTGTAGCAGGAAAAGGCGCTGCCGAAGATGTAGATCCAGCAGGAGATTTGTACCAGTTGACTCTATTCTCCGCCATGTTGAACAGACCGAAGTGTGCTCGAGTCTATGGTGGCACATCCACCCGCTCAATACCCCTCCTCTTGGCACACCTTGCCCAAAACTGTCGTTGCTGCTATTCCCGATGTTGTAGTGGTTGGTGGTGGTTTGATGTCGAACAAAATGATGACGATGAACGGCGGTGGGTTGGGGTGAATGAAAAGAGGAAATATATTTACTGTGATACAAGGAATACGTAAAGAAAATTAAAAAGAATAAACTAATTATTATTATGTTCTCTTATTTATGTTGGAAACGGGAAAACGTACTTATTAAGTAAATGACAGTTTGGTAATTTCTCATTTGATTTAACGGTTAGATAACATAATTTTTGGCAAAAGGGTACAATTGTTATGTTTTGATAATAGGACATGTTTGTACAAAAATATAATAGAAGGGTATGTTTGTTAATTTACAATAGTAGAGGGCTATAAAATGCTATTAACCCAATTGCAAGGGTTGTCAAATGCATAAGGCTTATAATCCTACCACTTAGGACGACCGCTTAGTTACTCGAGACTCGAGAGGAAGATAAGAGACCTAAGCTAGCTATAAGTATAACCTATTGAATTAGACAAGTTTGCACTTTTAGTCAAATGAAAGGCATAGTTATCTCCATTAGCTAGAAATTAGCATATATACCGAAGTTTGGAGAGATGGAAATGGAAGGCACTTTTAGTCTGCCTGTGTTCCCCACGAACAGTATATATGGTCCAACCCATATTGGACACAGAGAAAGCAGATTGTTTATGGCACAGTTCTCAAATTTGGTTGGTCAAAGTTTGTACAAGCGTTAATCAGGGGAAAAAGTGATTGCATGATTTCCGGAATATCTTTACTCGATCAAAACCCATATGAATGAAATTACTTTCAAACAATTCATTACCTACAAAAGTTACTCTAAATTTCTTTTCATTTTTTATGTGTAAAAGGGTTTTTTTCCTAGTCTGATCTCACAGCGAGGTTGTGTTCGTTTCCACTGTCTGATTTATTTCTAGTGCTGGGGCTTGGGGCACAATGCATATGCTTTTGGGTTCTTTTTTTTTAAACTTTTTAGGGTACTGCACTACTGCCACTCACTCACAGTCACTGGGTCACGACTCACGACTCACGACGGCCTTTACTTTTTCCAATCCTCCTCGTTCGAGGCAGCATGTATGTACCCTCGAAAGGAAAAGAGAGAAGAAAAAAAGGGGCAAAACCTCATTCGGGTTCAAAAGCTAGCTAAGTAGCAACGATAGGTTTCAAGCAATAATTGAGAAACCACACCGGAGGTCATACTCGATGAGTCTATAGTAGGATATTTCATATTTGTGGTATGATCGTGGTTATACATGTGATTTAAAAAAAAAACAATATATTTTTGTCAAAATATCATATCAACAAAAATATTTTTAATACGGAGGTCATACTCGATTAGTCTATGGTAGGACATTTGTGGTATGAACGTGGTTCTATATTTGAACTTTTTCAATAAAATAAAACAATATATTTTTGTCAAAATACCATACCGACAAAAATATGTTGATGTTCCGGAAAATATAGAATTACACATGATAACAATGAATCAAATACTAACTAACCGGACATGAGAAACCCACTTGAAGGATTCGAGCGTCCTCGTCTCCGGTGTCCTAAGTACTAGTTAGTTGTTGGCTTCTTTCTTAGTAGTTCAACAATTAAATTCATGTTAAGAAACAAACCAAAAATGATCATGTTCGACCGAATGATCGACGATCATGTTAGGCATTTGGGACATGATTTGGCGCTAATTAATAGATGAGCTGGCATACCAAGTTATTTCTATAAATTAAACAAACCAAAATTGATCCATCAGAGTACGTACACGACGGGGGAACATCGATCACATGCATGCATGTAATGCGGTTACAACTTCTTTAATTTGTATTCACATGCACAATTATTAATTGCTATCGTCTGCGAGGAAGCTTTGATGAATTCATATACAATGTGAGATCTGATTCAAAGATACTGCGTTTAATGTTACGAAGTTACCGCGTGGTTGGTTGTACATGTAGAAGGTGAAGTGCTGGTAGTGTATTATATTTTAGTCGTATGTTGTAGTCTTGTAGATAGCAGTTTATGTACATTTGTGAGGGGAGTTTGGTTTTTCTCCCTCGCCTTGAGCTTAATAAATTTTTTGATTGTCCATACAAACATAAATCAATTAGGAAACTGATGAATGATGATTGATCGATGGTGATGGTTCTATGCTAAATTGACATCTCGTAACCTTCATAAAGTACTTGTAATCAGGAGTGGTCATCAGTCGATCCGGTTCATAACTGATCGAATTGACTCATGAACGGACGAAAACTAACAGAAAATGAGGAACATAACCAGACTAACATACCGTTGATATAAATGAATTCCATAAGTTTTGAGGAATTCATTTTGAAATGAAACGTTTTTGTGTTTGGTATTTAAAAGAATTCATTTTCAATTCTAAAATTTGAATTCTGCGGAATTGGTACTAGTTATAGCAATTTCGAGGAATTGAGATGGAATTTATTTAATTGGTTCTAGGGCTGGAGGTTCGGTTATCGGTTACCGGTTAACTGGTCGGTTAAACCGATAACCGGCAGTTACAGGTTAACCGATAATCGAAAATATATGCTTCGGTCGGTGGTCGGAACTCCTAATAGGTAATTCGGTTAACCGAGTAATCAAAAATCGGTTATCCGGTTAACCGACAATAACCGAAAATAACCAACCGACCACCCCCCTCACCAAAACGACGTGAAAATACCCAGTTATGAAGTTTATAACTTTATGTTGTTGAATTTGAGACATTAATTTGGTGATTTAGATGTATTTTCTATGCAAAAGTGATTGAGACTTTACTTTGGGTGTGATTTAGATGTAGAAATGTAAGTTAGAACCTTTCATTTTATAATAATTTTATCCGGTTAAAACCGAACCACCATCATTTTTTCGATTATCTCGGTTAACCGACCAACTAACCGATAACCGACCGGTCGATTATTGATTAACCGAGACATTGGCGTCGGTCGGTGTTCGTAGGGGGAGATGGTGGTTCAGTTAACCGGTAACCGACCAATCGGTTATCGGTTATAACCGAACCGAACCGAATCCACCCCTATTTGGTTCGATTCTTTAATTTCAGCTTCACCCGTGAGAATCAATTGTATCGTGGCGATGAATAATTCACCTTAACATGGGAACATCATTATCAGTACATATTGACGTTTGATTGTCCTCTTCAACCCTTTAAATCATATCCATTTATATTTTTATGAATAGGGTTTGTGCTGATTGATAATAGGACTTTACATTTGAGATTTATCAGGGATGAGATAGCTTGCCTACACGTACAGGGTTGGAAAAATGACATCCTTATTATTTCTAGTCCTTTAAGGTATTAAATTTGTGTTGCATTTAATAATCCGTGGAAATTAAAAATCTATATTAATTATTTTTCTTTTTTCAGTGCAATGGTAGTTGTATCAGTGCGATAATAGTTGTATAAGTGCAATGATAGTTATATCAGTGCAATGGTGGTTGTATAAGTGCAATGATATCAGTGTACAAGTACGTTATCAGTGTAATGGTAATTGTATAAGTGCAATGATATTTTTTTAATGCAGTGATACTTTTTTTCTAGATGGTCAGAGGGAGTCTGTCGGAGAATATGTGGTCGGAAGGAGTCTGTCGGTGGGAGTTTGACTGGAAGGAGTCTACTTGGAGAAGGCAACAAAGCGGTTGGGAAAGAAAAGAATATGAAATAGAGAGAAATGTAATTAATGTAGGTTTAATTTTGAAAAAAAAATGTAAAATATGAGTTTTTTATTCTTACAATTATTTAATGCAACACAAATTTAATACTTTAAATAACTATAATTAATAAGAATGTCATTTGGGTTGATCATACTATCTCATCATCCTGATATCGGGTTCCTCCTGATATCATCCATGCCGTCAGCCCGTCACAATATAGATTTTCATTCAATAATCAACGCCAATCGTAGTTTGCCACAGTAAATTAATGACGGCACTTTGCAATTTCTCATTACTCTGTGTTTGATTAATTAGCTCAATAAGTGTAATTAAGTGCTGTCCAACTTTTCCCCACGATTAAGCATTCCAAACCCTAGCTAGCTAGTGACAATTAAAGGTGTTGCTCATTGTAAAACCCCAAACTCCATACAGCTGTATGCATGATTAATGATGCTACTAATTAAAAACGATATTGATCGATTTCCCTTTCACTTAGGATTTAGGAAAAGAAAATCTGTTTTATTGATTCTTTTTCGATATTATAT